TCCCTTCCGTGTCCCCTGACACGAGTCTTGGAAAACTCCAGCTGGCTACATGGATGTGTCTTCCATCTTGGGAGGCACCCAAGGCAGGCCGGAAGGCTCAGGACCATTCCACCCTGCTTCTGTCTCTCTCACTGGGTTGCGTGAAGCCTTGTTTAGGAAAGAAATGGGAGTTTTCTTTGACATTATTTTTTAAAGAATGTTTATTTATTTTTTCTCCATTTGAAAGCAAGAGTGAGAGTGAGAGAGAAGCCAGGAGCTTCTTCCGGGTCTCCCGCATGGGTAGCAGGGACCCAAGCACTCGGGCCATCTTCTGCTGCTTTCCCAGGTGCATTAGCAGGGAGCTCGATATGGCGCAGAGCAGCTGGGACTGGAACGGGCACTTGAAAGGGATGCAGGGTCACAGGCAAGGTTTAACCTACTATGCCACAATGCCGGTCCCACCCCCTGATTCTGTTGTTATTTTGTTTGTTTGCTTGTGTGATTTGAACATGGAGTCTTGCAGGGCAGCTGGGAGCAGCTGAGAGAATTTTCACCTTCTGGCTATAACAGTTCCTATTTTTATGTAAAAAGATGTGCGTTCCACTGTCTAGGTTCAGACACCTGCGGTGCCAACAGATGTTTTATTAAAGAAGTTGAAGGTTTAAAAAAGGCCATACAACTCATGAGGCAAGGACAGTGAGCCAGTTGTACCTTCTCCCCTGTCACTGTTAAGGCATTGGCCCCTCCCCTCCCCACCCCCCGCCCCCCGCCAAGGGAGTGTGCCGCGTAGCTCAGCTCCTGTGCTGGCGGCCAGTGGCGTCTGCATACATCTTGTTGTCTCGTCCACACAATCACGTTCAAAGACAACAGATGACCCAAGAGTGGACCAGGAGGTCAGCAGGCCAGGGAGGAGCCGGAAGCCCAGACTGCAGCTTTCTGCCACTGTGCACTTGGGAGGCAGCAGGGACGGCTTAAGCAGTTAGGACCCTGCCACCCGCATGGGAGCCCAGCGTTAAGTTCGGGGCTCCTGGTTTCAGTCTGACCCAGCTCTGGCTGTTGCCATCACTTGGGGAGTGAACCAGTGGGTGGAAGATCTCTAGCTCTGTCTCTCTGACTTTCAGAAACATAAAGTTAAAAATGTCAAGGTAGAAGCACTTCCTTGGTGTTCCGTAGAGAGCGGTCAAGTTCTCTGGGGGCCGGTGCTGTGGGTGCTGTGGGTGCCAGCTCGTGTCCCGGCTTTCCTCTTTGGATCTGTCTCTCTGCTTGTGGCCTGGGAAAGCAGTGGAAGATGGCCCGGGGTTCTTGGACCCCTGCACCTATGTGGGGAAGCCCAGAAGAAGCTCCTGGCTCCTGGCTTCGAAATGGTCCAGCTCTGGCTGCTGCAGCCATTTGGGGAATGAACCAGCAGATGGAAGACCTCTCTCTCTGTCTCTCCTCCTCTCTGTAACTGCACCTCTCAAAAAAAAAAAAAAAAAAAAAAAAAAAAGACCGTGATGTTAGAGAAAAACAGACAGTTCTGCAGCTGGCAGCACCTTCAGGCAGCGCTCGCCCCTTGGCTGCTCACGGCGCAGACTGCTGCTGGCAGGAAGCTCACCGCCAGGCCTGTCTGGCCAAACTCGTCACAGGAAATGGCCCGCAATGTCTGACACAACAGGAACAGCCGTGACACAAGCACAGGCGGAGGGAAGGAAACAGACACCACACACATGCCGGCGGGGACCCGCAGCAGAACTCCAGGTTCCCGCTCATCTGGAGCTCTCGAGGTAGAGGTGCATTTGGAATCTGTGTGCCAAGAAAGCGGATGGCCCGAGTGATGCTGTCTGCCTGCGTCCCTGGTCTGGGTGCAAAAAATCGAGAGCCAGGGTTTACACCAGGTGTATTTGGTTCAGAAAAGAGAGAGTGAGAACCAGTGAGACGATCCCGGCCTCTGAGAATCAGAGTTCTCTGAGGTCACCGAAGCCCAGCGTTGACCTCTGTGGGCTGCACCAGGGCACGAGGGGCCGCCCAGTGGGTCTGGCTCACCGCCCGGCTCTGGGACCTCAGCTAACCGCCCGTGACAACTCCGTGGGCTGAGAACGCGTGATCACCTGCACGTGACCGAAGCGGAAAGCAAGCTCAGCGGAAGTCACGGCGATCGTAGGTGTGAGGGTGTAACGTTGTCAGCCCTCAGCAGAGGACATCCGAGAGCTGAGGGGACACCTGGGCCGGGCAGCCCCGGCCTGCAGGAGGAAGGGCCCCGTCCGTCTCCTGCCCCCAGGATTCTCGGGTTTACCTGTGGCTGAGAAAGTCTTCCCAAGCTGCTCCTTGTCCCTTTTACCAACAACGTGACACACAAACAGCACCATGCATCCAAACCTCATATTCTCCCTGGTTAAGCTGCAAACGTGAGGCAACCGGTGGCTTTGCTGAGCGGGAGAAATACCATATTCTGCAAGGAGAGCAGTCTCTGTCCTGAAGAAGCTGGGCCAGGCCGAGTGTGCGACAGGTGTGCGTGCTAACCCCAGCCTCTGCCCCACTCCCGTCTCTGCAGAAGCTGGGGGCTGGGGCAGCTTTTAGCTCTGTGCAGGCGCCGCCGTCCCTCCCACATCCACGAAGGCCCAGCTTGGGCTCACCCCTCTGACAAGTGCTGTCCAGACCCAGGTCCTCCTATCAGAAGGGTATATCGTGGGGCCAGCGCTGTGGTACAGCGGGTTAAAGCCCCGGACTGCAGCGCCCACATCTCATAGAGGGTGCCAGTATGCGTCCCAGCTGCTCCACTTTGGATTCAGCTCCCTGCTGATGCACCTGGGAAAGCAGCTGAGGATGGCTCAAGTCCTTGGGCCCCTGCACCCACGTGGGAGACCCGGAAGAAGCTCTTGGCTCCAGATTGGCTCAGCCCTGGCCTTTGCAGCCATCCGGGGAGCAGATGGAAGACCTCTCTCTCTCTCTGTCTTTACCTCTCCTTGTAACTCTTTCAAATAAATAAAATAAACCTTAAAAAAAAAAAAAAAAAGAAGGGCACATCTTCTCTGTGACCGTTGCACCCCCAGGTAAACACAAGTCCCACCCCTACCAAAGGCTGCTAGAGCGCCTGTCTCCAACAATCGCACAGCGATTCCTGGGGTGTGCCGCACTCATGGACATCTGCAATAAAGGCTTTTCCAGGACTACCTCCCAGGACTCCACAGAGGCCCAGGTGGCTGACCTTCAGCAGCACTGGTGTCAGCGGCCAGGGTCATCACCGTACGCGAGGAGGACCAGAGAGCACAGGAGACAGTCCCCGCGGGGCAGGCCTTGCACTGGTCACTTCCACAAACACTGCCAATCCTCTGGGTTAGGTGTTGTAAACCCATTTTCCAGGGAAGGAAACTAAAGCTCCACAAGTCTAGGCCACTTGGGTGGGGCTGCACAGATCTTCAAACACAGAGAAAGTCAAGTCATTAAGGAACTCCGGTAAACAGATTCAGGCACTTAATGATTCTAAATTACAGAGCAGGCACTAGCTTGGTGGGGAAGGTGCCTGCATCCCACATCAAATGCCTGGCTTTCTGCTGATGCAGCCCCCGGGAGGCAGTAGTGATGGCTAAAATAATTAGCTAAAATAATTCCTGTCACCCATGGGAGAGACCTGGGTTGTGTTTCCAGCTCCCAGCTTCAGCCCTTACCCAGCCCTGACCGCTGTGGTCATTTGGGGAGAGAACCAGCAGATGAGAGCTCTCTCCTTTTCTTTTTCTGTCTTTAATAAATAAATAAAATTTGTAAAAAAAAAATGGGAATGGATGTTTGGCACATTGGTTAAGATCCAGCTTCAGGTGCCTGCATCCCATACCAGAGTGCCTGGGTTCCAGTCCCAGCTCCACTCCCCATTCCAGCTTCCTGTTAATGCACACAGCAGGTAAGGACTCAAGTACTTGGGTCTCTGCCATCCACATGGGAGACACGGATTGAGTGCCCAGCTCATGGGCGTATCTCTCTCTCTCTCCTGCCTAAATATGTAAAATAAATTTTTAAGTTTTAATGTTTCTAAAACAGAATACAATGTACACTGTTAACCTAATCATTGGATACACCCATGGTTTCAGTGTGCTGACTCCCTACCCTCCCACACAATGCAGAAATTCCTTCTCCTTTACTTCTAGCTCAATGAAGTCACAAAATATCACTGTCTATTTCAATCTAAGAAATGCACATGATTCCCATTAAATCATTTTTTAAATTTTCATCTACCTGAAAGAGCAACAGTGAGAGACAGAGAGAGAAACAGAGCAAGAGGGGTCTTCCACCCTCGGGTTCATTCCCTGACTGTCCACAGCAGTCAGGGCTGGGCCAGGTCAAAGCCAGAAACCCGGAACTCCATGTGGGTTGCCCATGTGGGTGTGGTCCAAGCACTTGTGCCATCACCTGCTGCCTCCCAGGATTCAGCAGCAGGAAGCTGGACTGGAGGTGGAGCAGCCAGAACCAGAACTGGGGCTCCAGTGTGGTATGCAGGCATTGCTAGTGGCGGCCTAACCCTCTGCACAAGGTCAGCCCCAGATGACTCCCATTGTTAAACACTGGAGATACGGTCAGCGGTGCTGAGTCCTGAGAATTTAGTAAAGTCAGTGCTCTGGCTCATCGCCAAGTGCAGAGATCTGTTTGTAACGTAGCAGAACGCATGCTTCGTGGTTCAGGTTGTCTTTCTCTCAGCCCTCCAGACACACCAAGTCAAGACTTGCTTCTAATTACTACACCTACTCCACACTCAGCAAGCTCAGAAAAAGAACTGGGGGTAAACAGCTTTCAACATCAGAAGCCTGCCATCTCCTCCGAGTCTACCTTACGAGCCTCAACGCATCCGCGGACACAGGGCCCAGGGACGGGTCCTCACGCTGCCTGGGCCTCCTGCAGGACGCACACGGCAACACAGTTTGGCTCTGCCTCCATTACAACAAAGCCTCAAGCTGCGCACCACTAAGACTCCTCAAGGGTAAACACAGCTTGGGGAAGGAGCACCCGGCGGTGCGGTGCGGTTCGGGACTTGGGGCCTGCTGTTTGGCGCTCACCTGTTGGGTTTGCAGGAATATCCAGGAGGGTCTTGAGCAGCTTCATGTCTTTAATGTTGTGAATGTAAATGGATTCCTCCAGGCAAACCAGCAGCCTCTGCAATCACACAGACGTGTCAGTCTACGGCACCGACTCCTGAGAGGGACCCACGAGATCCGAGTCCCTCCTCTCCCACGCGAGTCCTGACTCGATTCTAAAGGAGAAGGAGCTTTGAGGATGCATACTGAGGGTTACGGTTACGCACAGACATGCACACCCTTAGCATTACCTGCCTGAACAGAAGCTTAACACAGAATATCTTCAAAGACATTTTATTTAGAAATCGAGATTTCTCCTTCTCTCTCTCTCCCTAGTTTTTTGGACTACCTTTTTCTTCTAAAACAGAATTCCCAACACGTACAGACCAGACTCCCTTTGCGGCGTAAGCCAGCGCCTGCCCTGGGTCCTCTGTCCTACGGCTGCCTGGGGCTCAGCTCCTCCTGCTGGTGTGTCCCCCCACCCCCCTTCCCCACCAGTGCCCTCAGACCCTTCTCTTCTTTCTCAGATGGAACTTCAAGTTCAGAGCCTCTTCCCCAAGGCAGTGCTTTCTGCCTGTGGAATACCGGTGGCAGGGTCAGCGTGGGGGGCTGCACGGCCCAGTGCAAGCGCAGCTGTCGGGGAGGCACTTTTGCTTGGCAGCTCTGTCCACACTCTGAGCAGCTGCCCCACCTCTGCACAAGCCTAACGCAGCTTCCCCTGGGCTGCGGCTTGTCAGACTTGCATGAGCTCCAGTTACCGAAGGAGCAAGCCCTGGGCTCTCCCTGGAGATTCCGGTGTGGTGGAGGTATCTGTAATTACGATGCACACCAAGCTATGAGAAACAGGCTCTCAGGCTCGGTCCATTTTATAAATTAAAAAAAAAAAATTACTTTAGGGGCAAGTGTGGTATGGCAGGTAAAGCCACCACCTGTGACACTGGCATCTCATATGGGCACCAGTTTGTGTCCTGGCTGCTCCACTTCCAATCCAGCTCCCTGCTAGTGGCCGGGGAAAGCAGTGGAAGATGGCCTAAGTATTTGGAACCCTCCTACCCACATGGGAGACCCAGATGAAGCTCCTGGCTCCTGGCTTTGGCCTGGCCCAGCGCTGGCCATTGTGGCTATCTGGGGAGTGAACCAGCGAATGGAAGAGTGATCTCTCTAACTCTTTCAAAATAAATAAATCAATTTTGAAAAATAAAATTATTTTATTATTTGTTTGAGAGGCAGAGAGATAGAGTTCCCATCTGCTGGTTCACTCCCCAGATGCCTGACATGGCCAGGGCTGGGCTAGAGCCAAAGTCAGGAGCTAGGGATGCGGCCCGGTCTCCTACAGGACAGCAGAGACCCAATTGCTTGAGCCAGCATCACTGCCTCCCTGGTCTGCCCTGGCAGGAAGATGGAGTCAGGAGCTACAGCCAGGAAGTGAACCCAGGTACTCCCATGTGGGATGCAAGTGTGTTAACTGCAAGGTGAACTCCAGCCAGCTCCATTTATTGCAAGGAACGTCAGTTAGAAGGGAAGGTACCTAAAAATACTACAAAATAGAAGCAGGCCATTTTCCCAGTAAGCCTCCTCACAGCTCAGAAGAATGGAGACCAGAACTTGACCAAGTAGGAAAACCAAGTTTAAACACTGCACTCAATATTTATTAAGGTTCCATGGCCATAGGTCTGAGACTGGGTATCATCAAAATCGGTGACATGTTAGTTTTTCTCCAGGGAATATTATCTGCGATTTACTTGATCACTCAGCCTTCTGTCAACATGTACATGGTCTGGATCATGTTCTGTGTTTGTTTCTGTTCTGAGGTTTCTCATCTCTCACACCCCCTCGCAGCCCCACACCCAACCCCAGGACAGCAGGGCCCCGACATAGGCCTCTTACAGGAAGAGCACTGTGATGGAGCTTGTATGAGCTCATCTGGACTTTCCCACTAGCGCGAATGGTGCCAGCTGTTCTGTAGCCCACTCAGCCACTAGCGCTGGCTACGGACAGGAATAACCGGGAGTAGAAATAGAAAAGCCCAGGGGGGAGGAGGAGTCACCTGGACTCCGTCCTGTGAGCACGTGCTCCTGGGATGAGCACAACCTGGTGACATTTTTTAAAAGATTTATTTGAAAGGCAAAGTGACAGAGAGGAAGACACACACACACATACACACACAGAAAAAGAGAGAGAGAAAGAGAGGGGGAGGGAGGAAGGGAGGGGGAGGGAGAAGGGGAGGGGGAGGGAGGGGGAGGGGGAAGGAGAAGGGAAGGGGAGGGGAGGGAAGGGAGAAGGGGAGGGGGAGGGGGAGGGGGAGGGAGAAGAGGAAGGGGAGGGAGAAGGGAAGGGGGAGGGAGGAGGGGAGGGGGAAGGGAGGGGGAGAGAGGTGTCTTCCTTCCCGCTGTTTCACTCCCCAAATGGCACCAATGGCCAGGGTTGAGCCAGGCCAAAGCCAGGAGCCAGGATCTTCCTGATCTCTCGGGTGGCTGCAGGGTCCAAGAACGTGGGCCATCTTCCACTGCCTCCAGGCACATCAGCAGGGAGTTGCTGGATTGGAACTCAAACAGCACCTATACGGGATGCCGGCACTGCAGGTAGCGGCTTTACCTGCTATACCAAGGCACCAATCTCCTAAAAGCTTTTTTTTTTTTAAGATTGATTTATTTGAAAGGCAGAGTTACAAAGAGGCAGAGACAGACAGACAGAAAGGGAGAGAGGTCTTCCATCTGCTGGGTCACTCCCCAAATGGCCACAGCAGCCGGAGCTGGGCCAATCTGAAGCCAAGAGCCAGGAGCTTTTTCCAGGTCTCTCACATGGGTGCAGGGACCCAAGGACTAGGGCCATCTTCTACTGCTTTCCCAGGCCATAGCAGAGAGCTGGACTGGAATTGGAGCAGCCGGGACTCAAACTGGCACCCATATGGGATGCCAGCACCACAAGCTATGCCGCAGTGCCGGCCCCTTAACTGCTTTTTAACATCAACTTTCAGTCTCAGCAGAATCACAACCTTGCCTCCAACTGCTCTCATTCCCTGGCACTTTGCTTTCCTGTTTTGTAAATAATAAACTCCTTTATATCAATGAAAACGACCACTTTATAGCATCGTCCCTCCAGCACCATGGACTCAGACTTCAGTCTGATCAACCCGTAAGCTGGCTAACAAGGGCCCCAGCGGGCAGATGGCCACAGTACTGCTAAAGTCTGTGAATCTATATACATCAGGCTTAGTGTCTGTTTTTCATTAAATACATTGCCTCAATTAAACACAAGGGATATAACAAGAGCAAGACACATCACCATCCCTAAGTGGTCTTCTTAGTATTTAGAGGAATTGGGAGTTGTGCTTCTTTGTAACTCCTTACACAGATCTTTACTTTTTCTCCTGTTTTCTACAAGGGAATTTCACTGCCTGAAGAGCCAAGGGGGCAGTGGGCTGAGCGCCACACACCAGGGACTGCACCTGCTGCCCCTCTCCCTTCCCCCGATAGGTGGCTCTGCAGGCAGCGCCGGACCCTCACCTGGCAAGGGGCTGGCAGCAGCTGAGTCTCCCAAACCAAAACTTGAGTCCAAAACTTGTGGTTTTTAAGAAAAGGCAAATGCCAGGGGCTGGTACTGTGGCACAGTGGGTTAAGCCGCCATCTGCAGTGCTGGCATCCCGTATGGACACTGGTTTGAGTACCGACTGCTCCACTTCTGATCCAGCTCCCTGCTAATGTTCCTCGGAAAGCAGCCGATGATGATCCAAGTGCTTGGACCCCTGAACCCACGTGGGAGACCCAGGTGGAGCTCAGGCTTCTGGCTTTGGCCTGGGCCAGCCCCTGCTATTGAGGACGTCTGGGTAGTGAACAAGCAGATGGAAGATCTCTCTCTCTGTCTCTCCCTCTCCCTGTAAGTCTGACTGTCAGATAAATAAATAGAAAGGCAAACACCAACATTTCCCCGACCTGTTTCCAGACATTCTTCATAGAGGAGATGTGGAGGAAGGGAGCACCGTGAGATCCACGCTCGCTGCTGAGTAGCTCAGGTGCCGCTGTCATCTTTAAAGGTGGGGGAGGAGGACCTTGAAGTTAATGAGTGTTGCACTGTGGGGCGGCTGGCACCCAAAGGTTAACAGACTCAGACACCTGAGCAAGCCTTCCCTGTCCCCGTTGCTAAGGAAAACACCAGAGGAAAGAGGGAAAGGAGATAAGCAAACACAGGAGGCATTATTTGAGGGTTCTGGTCTTTATAGGGTATTTGATTAGACAATCTGAAAAGATAACCAATCTAGAGCCAGAAAGAGACTCAGGTGCCTTCCACTGGCTACTGCTCCCTGCAGACAAAACACCTGCAATGAAACTTCTGCTGTCAAAGATTTCACAGAGAGCACCTGGGCCAGGAATTGCACTTAAAAACTTCCAAGGAGGGGCCAGTGCTGTGATACAGTAGGTTAAACCTCCACCCGCGGCGCTGGCATCCCATGTGGACACCGGTTCTGGTCCTGGCTGATCCTCTTCTGATCCAGCTCTGCTGTGGCCTGGGAAAGCAGTAGAAGATGGCCCAAGCACTTGGGCCCCTGCACCTGCATGGGAGACCCAGAAGAAACTCCTGGCTCCTGGCTTCAGATTGGCCCAGCTCCAGCTATTGCAGCCATTTGGTGAGTAAAGCAGCAGATGGAAGATCTTTCTCTGTCTCTCCTTCCCACTGTTTGTAACTCTACCTCTCAAACCAATAAATAAAATCAAAAAAATAAAAAAAAACAAAGCAAAACAAAAAAAACTTCCAAGGAGGGGTTGCACTTCGGTGCAGCGGTTAAGCCACCACCTGCAGTGCCGGCATCCTATATGGGTGGCGTTCCAGTCTCGGCTGTTCCACTTCCAATCCAGCTCCCCAATTAATGGCCTGGGAGCTTGGGCCCCTTCACCCACGTGGGAAGCCCAGAAGAAGCTCCTGGCTTCAGTCTGGCCCATCACTGACCACTGCAGGCATTTGGGGAGTGAACCAGCAGACTGAAGATCTTTGTCTCCTTCTCTCCCTAACTCTGACTTTCAAATAAATAAATAAATAAACTCTGACTTTCAAATAAATAAATCTCATATATATTTATATATATATATATATATATATATATATATATTTATATATATATATACACAACACCTCCAAGGAGAAAACCTGCCAACTGCCGTTTTCTCGCTGGCCGAGAACCCACCCTTCTTTCCCTGCTCCTCTTTACTGAGAAGCGCCCATCTGCTATTTCTCGGCCTGTTTTCTGCCACGTTGTTTTCCACGGCTTGCAGTGGATGCTGGGTCAAAATAAGCAATCACCCAAGGAAACAGCAGCCCCCTTCTCAGAGGGTTCAAGAAGCACCCACTCTTATTTGGTTAAAAGGAAAAAATTAATTGGCACTTTAATGGTTTAGATACCGAGAAAGAACAGGCTGTCCTCAACAAATCTAACAGCCGCCGCCTCCTGGGAATACTTAGTTGGACAGACAGACCTGCACACTACACAAAGGATCTCTTTGTTTATTTCATAGTCAGGAACCTGGTATTTATGAGCATTTTGCTACCGGGCCTTATATAGAGCCCAAAACTGACACAGTCCCTGTTCTCACAGTATAGAAAATCCGGTAATTCAAGAGGAAATCTGCTAACACCCAGACACTCCACAAGAATTCATAGGAGTAGGGGCTGGTGCAGTGGCACAGTGGGTTAGGCTCTCACTTGCGATGTAGGCATCCCATATAGGAGTGCTGGTTCGAATGCCAACAGCTCCCCTTCTGATCCAACTCCCTGCCAATGTGCCTGGGAAGGCAGTGGGTGATGGTCTAGGTACTCAGGCTCCTCTCACCCACGCTGGAAGGCCCGGACAGAGTTCCTTGCTCTTGGCTTTGGCTTGGCCCAGCCCTGGCCATTGTGGCCACCTAGGGAGGGAACCAGTAGACGGAAGATCTCATTCTTTCTCTGTCTCTCCTTCTCTTTGTCACTCGGCCTTTCAGATAATAAATAAACAGATCTTTCAAAATACAGATATATGTAGGAGTAAGGGTGGGTCAAAACGTTCCTGGGGGGTGGAGGAGGGGACACTTGGCACCGTCACCGAGATGCCACTTGGCATGCTTGTGGAGTTCCCGGATTCCAGGCCCAGCTCCACTCTTGATCCTGCTCCCTGCTGCCGCACACTCTGGGAGACGGTAGGTGAGGGCTCAAGCATTTGGGTCCCTGCTACCCACGTGGGAGACATGGATTGAGATCCCAGCTTCTGGCTTTGGCCTGGCCCAACCCCAGCTGTTGCAGGCATTTGGGGAGTGAACCAATGGAAGGGAGCTCTCTGCCTGCCTGTCTCTCTGCCTTGGAAATAAATAAATAAGGAACATTTTTAAATTTTCAGGGCAAAGTGGAAATACAAGTCATTTTGATGTAAAAAATTTTTGAGATCTAGGGGCAGTTTTTTCATAACACACATTTTCCATGAACTTTTTGCAGAGTCCTTGCATTCTAAAACAGAATGCATTGCATATTTGAGATAAGAACAACCCTTCTTTCAACAAAGAAAATATTTTGAGAAAAAAAAAATCTTCAAGGATCAGCTGGGAAAAAGAAACATGGACGCAGGAGGCGGAGGAGCTGGCCCACAAGGTCAGCCGCAGTAGATGGCAGAGTGGCAATGGACGTCTGACCGGCTTCAGAACTAACCCGGGAGGACCACGCTTCCTGCCCAGGCGCCGAATCTCAGAGGCATTACCACTGTCCGCGGGAACGGCCTCTGTTTGTCTAGCGCCAGACCAGAAGAGCTGTGCGTCTGGCTAACGGTGCCCGGCGGCTGCTCACGGGACAGTGCAGAGCCGGAGCTCAGTCTGCACACAGGGTGCAGGGAGATGCACCCAGTCAGTGGCCCGTGCTGGACCACGGAAGGCACACCTCAAAGACGAGCATGTGGAATGGCCTCTCTCCGCTACCCCTGTGCTCCTGGGCCCGCGTGTCACAGGCCTCTCCAGAATCTGAGGCTCACTTTAAAGACATTCATCGTTAATGACGTCTGTCCTCTCCTGCGGCTCCAATCAGCAACCTCGAACCCTCGGGGGTCTCGCCCACTTACTTGCCGGTTCAGCCTTATGGACAGGATGTTGCTGGAGTAGCTGTAGTTACAGATTTCCGTGCCTTTCTTGAAGTGGTACACGTTCATTTGCCGCGGCTTGCTGTGGCTGACCACCACCACCAGACTGCTGGAGAAGAGGCGCTCCACGATGTAAACATCCGGGATCTCATCTGGGAGGGCAAGCGGCAGCAGAGTTACCCGGATGGGATGGCTCACTCAGGCAGGGATTCCCACCCCAGGACCAGGGAGCAGCTCAGGGCAGTGTGCGAATGCCCTCTGCATACTGAACCACACCCTCCGCTGCTGGCTCCCAAGCTAGCCCTCCCATGCTCCTTTCCAGGTCTGGATAGAGAAAGCTAGCCACAGCATGGCCAGACACAAAGTCTGGATTTGGAGGGCTGCCTCTGACCTTGGACTCCTCCTGCCAAAGGCTGGACCACCTCAACCCACCCTTTTCCTGGGCACCCACCTGGGGGGGGGGTATCCTTCTCTTTTCTTTTTAAAAACTTTATTGAGAGACAGACAGTAAGAGAGAGCTCCCATCAGCTCATTCTCGCTCCAGGCCTGCAACGAGCATTTGGCTAAGCTGGGAGATGTGAACTCAATCCAGGTCTCTCTTTGGCAGGAACCTGATTACACGAGCCATTGCTACTGCCTTTCACGCCCACATTAGCAGGAAGCTGGAGTCAGGAGCCGGAGATGGATACTGAGCCCAGGCACACCACTGTGGGAAGCAGGCATCCTAGCCAGAGTCTTAACCACTCGGTCAAATGCTTCTCTTATCTTGAGTTGACACATAACTGTACAAACTTGCACGTACAATGTGCTGTCTCTATACATGTGTACACTGTGTACCGATCAATCAGAATATCCATCAGCTCGAGTATGTGTCGTTTCTGTGTGGTACAACATCCAAAATCCTCTCTTCTAGCTATTTTTTTAAAAGATTTATTTAGTTATTTGAAAAGGAGAGTGACAAAGAGGGAGAGACGGGGAGAGAGAGAGATCTCCCATCCACTGGTTCACTCCCCAGATGGCCACAATGGCCAGAAGTGGTCCAGATCAAAGCCAGGAGCCCAGAATTTCATCCAAGACCCCCTCATGGGTGACAGGGGCCCAAGTTCTTGGACCATGTCCCTCTGCTTTCCCAGGCACATTAGCAGGGAGCTGGATCAGAAGCAGAGCAGCTGGGGCTCAAACTGGCACTCTGATCTGGGATCTGGCATCGTAGATCCACCACCGCGCTACAGTGCTGGCTGTCATCCGGCTACTTTGGAGATCACAGTGATTATTACTGGGTTAGTCATTGCACTGTTCCATAGATGAGCGATGACTCGACTGCGAGCCCCTGCTTTCGGAATCCTTGTCCTGCTGGGGAGACACCACTACTGGGCGGGGGGCAATAACACACTTAAACCTGTTCCCCTCCCCATCCTGCTATGCACCCTGGCCCTCTCTGGATCCCTTCCCTGTGGAAAACAATCCTGACCCAGTGCTATGACCAGGAGAGCACCTCCGAGCACCTGCAGTAGGCCTCAGTGTCTTTCTGAGAACATTCTTCTCCTGGGCCTGCCTCTCTCGTGCTTGCGTAAGCCCCAGAGGGAACAACACAGGACAGACGCACAACAAGATATTCAGGGAAATGGTGTCATGAAAACGATACCTTACAAGTAAATTAGGAGTCCAAAATATTTATCAAACCAGTGTCTTTCCAGAAAACCTTGAGGTTATATATTCATCACTAGGATGAAAGTATCAACTATTACACTGAGAAAATAGTCAATTTTTAAGCTTTTTTTAAAATTTTTTTTGGACAGGCAGAGTTAGACAGTGAGAGAGAGAGACAGAGAGAAAGGTCTTCCTTTTCCGTTGGTTCACCCCCCCCAAATGGCTGCTACAGCTGGTGCACTGTGCTGATCGGAAGGCAGGAGCCAGGTGCTTCTCCTGGTCTCCCATGGGGTGCAGGGCCCAAGGACCTGGGCCATCCTCCACTGCACTCCCGGGCCACAGCAGAGCTTTCATATTTTTTATTGTTTATTTGTTTGAAAGAGACTCACAGAGCCCCCATTTACTGGTTCACTGCCCAAACGCCTGGGAAAGGGACACAGCCCAGGCTCCCCACCTGCGCAACAGAGGCCCAACCATCTGAGTCCCCACCTGCTGACTCCCAGGTACACGTCAGCAGGAAGTGGCACTGGGAGCAGAGTCAGGGTTTGAACTGAGGCATTCTCACACGGGATGAGATCGTCTCAACAAGCGGCTGAACTGCCAGGTCAAACCCCACCCCTGACCCATTTTTAATATCCACTAAAAGGACTTCAGCATCTTTGATACAGGCTATGGAAATCGAATAGGGTTGCTTTATTAAAACAAAGAAAATATTTCTGTGCCTGAATTCCACAGTGCCAATATAATGGCAGAAAGCAATCACAAATGACCTTTTGGTTCGACAATTATAAAAACAGATGACTGTGTATATAAATATATGGGACAGGACCAATAAGTATGATTCCAAAGAAAATGCTTGCAAAGAAAAAAAGTTGCGTAGGCTCTTGTCACATCTACACGAGCATTTCATTGTGGTTTTTAAGCAAGGGGAGGTAAGGATTTATATTAACATCTGAAAAATGCTGACTCCTTAAGTGTCACAGTTGGTTAAGGAAGGAAAAACAGAAACCTCAAAGCACTGCTGATTAAAGACCAGAGGGAGGATTTCATGTCCCTGAGATCTCTGACACACAACTTACTGCTTCCGTGGACTTGGTCCAGTTGCTCCACAGAACTCAGAGAAAACAGCTTATAACCGGCTTTGGTTCCAATTGCGAGGGATCTGCGGAGGATAAGGACACAGAGGATGACAACAGATACCACTCTCCAGCCACAGAGCTGTCTGCAGACGTCCCTCCCCCGTCAGCCTCAAAAAAGCCAGGTGAACACACATCTCCAGGAGCTTATGGCATGGATGGCTTCCTACCTGGAGAAACAGGCCTTGTCAGGCAAGCAGGTGCCATAAAAGGAAAAAAGGTCAAAGGCAATTTGGAAAAAAAAAAGCGGGGGGGGGATGATTAAGAGACATGAAACTGCCTGGGCTCTGTCATTAAAAAACATGTCAAACCTACCAGAATGTGTGTTCAGTATGCGTTCTCGCTGGGCAGACAGGAAAAGTGGAATGTTTAAGGATACTCATATAGCTCCGCCTCCAACACAAGTAGGAGGTCTTTTTGCTGTTTGAGACACACTTTACCAAGTGGTCAATTATTTTTCTTTCCTTGAAGAAATAAATATACATTCATAGTAGGCATCATGCTTCATTAGTAGACAAACTTGAACCGCTCCTTCCTCTCATCGGTTTCCACAAAAATATCCCAGATACCTTAAACCTGTGGCTCTCACCTGTGGCTGGACATTCAGCTCTGTCAGGGAGCTTAAGTGGGTTTCTTTTTTTTTTTTTTTTTTTTGACAGGCAGAGTGGACAGTGAAAGAGAGAGACAGAGAGAAAGGTCTTCCTTTGCCGTTGGTTCACCCTCCAATGGCCGCCGCGGCCAGCGCGCTGCAGCCGGCGCACCGCGCTGATCCGATGGCAGGAGCCAGGTGCTTCTCCTGGTCTCCCATGGGGTGCAGGGCCCAAGCACTTGGGCCATCCTCCACTGCACTCCCTGGCCACAGCAGAGAGCTGGCCTGGAAGAGGGGCAACCGGGACAGAATCCGGCGCCTCGACCGGGACTAGAACCCCGTGTGCTGGCGCCGCAAGGCGGAGGATTAGCCTAGTGAGCCACGGCGCCGACCAAGTGGGTTTCTGTCGAGTTCAAGTACTCCAACATGCAGCCAGAGTTGAGAACTCTGCTTTACACCACAAAGCAGTCATCACAATGAACAAACAAAATAAAAACTAAACATTTATCTGGGATAATGTGGCTTTCTTATGTTTTACTTTTCAACCAATGGACAAAGGCAGGGTGTGAATCCAGGTGTCCCTGGCCTTGTGATGAAAGCAAATGAGTCAACTTTGTCCAGGGGCTGGGGATCCCAGCCACCTCCCTCCTGCTTGCCTTGAATGCCTCAGTGATGAGCAAAACTTTACACGGAGCACACTCCGCAGCAGTCTGACCCCGCGTACTTCCCAGGGAAAAGAGGATCCCAGAGCTGAAGTGCACCTTCACATGGTTTACTCCAACCTTCTCATTAAAAAAACAAAAAACAAAAAAAACACAAGGACCAGCCTTGTGGCACAGCAGGTCAAGCTGCAGCTTGAGAGGCTGGCATCCCATATCCGAGCGCCTAGTTGGAGTCCCTGTCACTTTGCTTCTGATCCAGCTCCCTGCTAACATGCGCCTTGGGGGGCAGCAGATGGCTCAAGTACCTGAGCCCTGCCACCATGGGTGGACTAGGATGGAACTGAGTTCCTGGCTCCTGGCTTTGGCAGGCCCAGCTCCACCTGTTGCAGGAACTTGGGGAGTGAACCAGTAGACGGAAGACCTCTGTCTCCACTGCTCTGCCTTTCAAATAAACAAAAATAAGTGAAAAAACATTAACAACATCATGCAGAGGTGAGATTCGCCCTTCACAGGGAACCACGTACTAAAATAAGTAACTCACTACTGCAAGCCTGGATGGCCCAGGATCTTGTTTCACTAACCTAAAAAAAAAAAAAAAAAAAAGAGTCTGTCACATGATTTTCCCTGGAATTTTTATCCTACCCAGACATTTGTTCTTCCCTGGAATCTAGGGATATGCAAGGTAGCAGGTTCTGTCCCTAGTCCTCCAACCTGCTGAGCAGCTGATTCAGTTTGTTAGACATTCGTACAATGGCAGAAGTGCAGCTAGGACCGAGGTTTGCTGTCCAGAGCTATTTTTTTTTTTAAGATTTATTCATTTATTTGAAAGTCAGAGTTACATACAGAGAAAGGGAGAGACAGAGAGAGGTCTTCTATCCACTGGTCCATTCCCCAAATGGCCAGAGCTGGGCCCATCTGAAGCCAGAAGCCAGGAGCTTCTTCTGGGTTTCCCACACAGGTGCAGGGGCCCAAGCACTTGGGCCATCCTCCCCTGCTTTCCCAGGCCATAGCAGAGAGCTGGATCGGAAGAGGAGCAGTCAGGATGCGAACTGGTGCCCATATGGGATGCTGGCACTGCAGGTGGAGGCTTAACCTCCTATGCCACAGTACTGGCCACCAAAGCTGCAGTATTAACCACACTAAACAGCGACTGGAAAAGCAGCCAGGAGCTGCTTCCTAAGGCTTCACCCTAGACTCTAGCGATTGCTGTGACATTTCCTTCACTTATAAAAACAAGCCATGCTCCTGACCACAAACAGACCGGATCAAGAAATCCAAGCTTAGACTCTGACTCATAAAGCCTTCCTATAGGAACAAGAGTCTCATCATCACACAGGCGAATGAGGGCTGGGACAAGTATGTGTTACCCACCAAATCACAAAATGTAGCTCAAGTGTCTAGCGCAGTGCGGCTCTAGGAGACTGGTGAAGGTTAGCCATCTTTACTAAGCTTCTCCAGAAATACTGGGTCCCAAACTCAGCCTACATTTATAGAAAAGCACACACCCACACATCTAAATGCGTTTGGGAAAGGGGCTTGGACTTATTTTAAAATCCAATGTCACACCCTTGCGGCGCAAAGCAACTGACGGTGACAAGAACTTTTATTTATAGGCAGCCAAAGCTGCCAGGAGGGCCCTCCTCCAGGCACACAGCACTGACAGTAGGGACTAAGAAAATGAACAGTTTCGAAAAAAACATTCTTGTCTAATTGCTCTAGGAAGCTGGGGTTTACTGTGGATTCCTTAATAAGCAGAATAAAAATTAACGTCATTTTCCCCCTAAATCCATTATCACAAAGCTGCACTTAGAATATTTACTACTTGGAAACAAACTAACTCGTTTCCTTAACCAGTGTTCAACTGGGAAGGAAAACATCACTGAGGCATTTGCACAGCCATACCCTCTTGCAAAATGTTTCTTACAAAACAGAATTTATCTATAACATCAGGTGGGTCTCAGCCCACAAGGGGATCCTGCAAACAATTCAGTGGGTGGCAAGCAGCTTAAAAAAAAAAAAAAAGAAACGCCAGAGGGTTTTGCACATAATATTTTATGGATATTCTAAGTATACAGATCTGGGGGAATGTTGCAATATGTACTTCTCTTTGTGGGTTGTGGTCAAGAAATGCCTGGATGAGTGACTACTCACAACCAAGCCATGGAGCCACTCCATGAGTTGACTCCACATATGGCTTTTTTCCCAAACAAAGGCATATTGTTCCGGGCAGGCTGTTTTTAAACAAAAACACAGAGGGAATGGCAGCCAAGGTTGCTTATGGTACACGACGGCCTTAATTACACCACTGAATGTTCAATATTAGCACAGCCCAGCGACTGGCAGCCAAGGCACGGGAACAGGGCGGAAGGAAACTGGTACAGCAGGAAGTGGGAAAGAGGGAAGCGGCCATCCCTGCCCGATCTGCCTGATGCTGGGGCGGGGGGGGGGACCCCAAGGAGATGCGACCCTCCAGGACGCGGGACACAGACAGGCGTGCGCTCCAGACAGGACCCTGCAGGTGCCCAAGTCTCAGTCCAGCAATTCCGGGTTGGTGGTGGCTTTTTTTCTTTTTTCTTTTTTTTTTTTTTTGGCCAAAGTCCAGATGTAGACATCCAAGTGAAACATTAAAAACCCACTCAGAAGCACACACAGCGAGTGGGCCCCGGAAGGGCTCCTGGACTCGGAGGAGACCTCGCAGGGCAGGGTGGGCGCTGCGGGCTCCCTCCACCCCCAGCCCCCGGGGCGAGACGCCCCGCGCCGCAGGGATAGGCTGCCTCTGGGAGCCAGGCCCTGCCCAGATGCCACGTTGGGATGCTCAAGGACAAATGGGAAAGTTTTCTCCGCACGGCCATCTCCCTGCGCCCCCGCCACAGCGTCTGGGGTCGACAGGCCGGGCCTCCGTCCCCGCTCTCGCCTTCGTGTGGGGCCCCTGCCCCTCCCGCCTCCCCGGCCGGGGTCGCGGCTTTCATGCCGCCCCTTCCCCGCAGTCCGAGTCCTCCCTCCACCCCTCCCCAGCCCCCTCCCTCTGCAGACTCCGGTCCTCCGGCTCGGCCCGCCGCGGGGCTGGGGGCTCGAACCCCGCCGCCGGGGGGGGGGGAGGGGGGGGGGGCGGGATCGGAGGGGGGGGGGGGGACGGAGGAGCGGCCGGGCCCACGGATGGGGAGGCGGGAGGCGGCAGCTCACTGAGCGCAGCCTACGGGTTGGATAAAGGCATGGGGTCGCGAAAATTTTCTACCACCTCCTCGTTTCCTAGGGACAGGGCGCGGCCCAGTAGGTTCACATCATACAGAACGAAAAGCAGCGGAGAGGTCCCCAGACAGCCTTGAGTGGCGTCCGTGGCCTCGGCCTCCATCGGGGGCTCGACCCGGGAAGCCTCAGCTCCGAGCCGGCGGCAGCCACCTCAGCAGCCCGCCCGCGCCGGCTCCCCGGCCGGGCGGCCAGCCCCGCCCCGCCCCTAGCCCCGCCCCGTCCCTTCCCGGTCCGCCCCGCCCCTCGCCGCCCGGGCGGCGGGTCTCGCGGAAAGCGAGCAGCTGACAGGGCGGGGCCCCTACTGCCGGCCACCATTGGTCCCGAGCTCATGCCCGGGGGGCAGGTGCCGCTCCTTTGGCCAATCCGCGGCGCCTGTGGGCGGGCCCTCTCCCGAGCTGGTGGCCCGCCCCCGACTTCTCGTCGCGGTTTGCCATTGGGCGAAGGCGCGTGACGGAAAGGCTGCAGGCCACGTGGTGGTGTTTTCATTGCCAGAGCCTCCGGGTCGGCTGGCTGGGCTCCGGCACCTGCGTCCCTCGGACACCGCAGAGGAGACAAAGCGACGCGCTCGCTCCTGCCCCACCCAAACCGCCTGGCGAGTGTGAGTGTCTGCCCATGACACTCAGAGCTCGGTAGCCAGCGTTCGACGCCAGGGCCGCGTCCTTCTGCGGAGTCCTCAAGCCGCTGTGAGCGAAGTGGCTGACTCGGGCTTATCTGTGGCCGTGCGGCTGCGAGCTCCTACTGCTGGGGAGACCATCTCCCCGGATCCCTGCACGGCCTTGTCAGGAAGGCGCGGCGGTGCAGTCCGCGGGAGAGCCCGCCGGAGCCCCGCGTGGCCGAACCGTGCGCGGGGACCCCGGGGACCTGCGCACCGAGCGCCCCTGCCCGGGGGTGTCGCCGCGTGGGACCCCCGCGCCCTGCAAAGGACCAAGACCACGCCTGGCATCCATCAGGTTTACTTCATTTGGGACAAAATCCTGCACGTTGGATGAGCCTTGGGACTAGAAAATAAATCACCAAAAAATAAAAAGCACTATTTCTCTGAAGCTTTTCTGGTTAGATTTCCGGCTTGGGTTTTCTGAAAGGCAAAATGTAGCAGTTTCTGTTCTCACTCTCTTGTTCTTTCTCCCCAGTGTTGTAACCCTCCACCTACACACACACACACACACACACACACGTTCAGCGAGGAGATGCACAGGTGCTGATTGTTGAGCTGGGTGCCGTGTTGTGTAAGCTATCCGTGTTACTTGGAAAGAAAGATCTGGGTTCGTTCACTGAGGCGTCTTTGCAACCTTGCAAATCCCGGCTCAGCTCAATGCTGCGCTTCTCTCTGTTCTAGTTAGAAAACCGAGTCTGGCCCGCTAGGGGCTAGGTGGTTGGGAGAATTGCATAAAGTGCATAACGCTTTTTACGGAGGAAGCTGTTACTGTCGGTTTGCCATTGAGAAACTGGACTTTAGAGTGGGGAGCAGGTGTTTTGTGTTTCGTGATAAAAACAGTTTCCTGGGCAGATAAACTCAGCCAGGGAGAGCAGGACAAATTCAGAGTGGGGAAAGTTCTAGAAGTCTTTGGGGGACTCATGTGAAATTCTGAGAGTGAAGGGGTGTGAGAGACGAGGCTCTGAGGGCAGCAAGGCCTGAAGGTTAAGACCAATCAAGAGTTGCTGAGGTGGTGCTGTCCAGTAGAAAGACAAAAGCCACGAATGTATGCTCCATAAGCAATTTTCTAGAATATACACTTAAAAGAAATGGGCACAGCAATTTTACTGACAGTCGTTCATTTAAGAATAGCCCAAAAATGTTCTTTCAGGAGCCGGCTTTTGGTGGAGTGGTTAAGGCTGCCTGGTATCCTGGAGTCAGTCCCATACTGGGAGTGCAGACAGGGTGCCTGGGTTTGATTCCCGGCTCGTGCTCTTGATTCCGGCTTCCCGCTAAGGCACATCCTGGTTGGCTTGGGTCCTCACCACGTCCATGGAGACCTGGATTGAGTTCCGGGCTTCCGGCTTTGCTCTGACCCAGCCCTGGCCGTACTGAGTGTCTGGAGAGTGAACCAGTAGATGGGAACTCTGTTGCTCTGCCTTTCAAATAAATTGTATATATATAATTTTAAGTATATATATGATTTTAAATATATATTATTTGAGTTGATCTAGATTTTTTTTTCAGAACGAAACATTTACATGTGTCTCAGTTCAGCTCTGGTCACATTTGCAGTGCTCACGTGGCTGGTGGCTCCTGCTCACTGGGATTTCAGAGGAGTGGACGGCAGGACGTGGTGACTGCTGGGGACGGAGTGTCGGGGAAGAATAGGGAGGAGTTTTAGGAAGGAGGAAGCCTGGCAACCGGCTTTCAGAAACCAGGTCTCTGAACAGATATTTAGGGCCGTGTCAGTTTCCGACAGCTCACTGGAGCAGATGAACAGAATGTTTGCTGTCATCAAGGTTCGGGCTCAGTGATGCAGGCATGAGAGAAACCGGTCACCTTTCCAGCCCTGCCCTGCCTGGGAGTGAGCCCCTTACATGTCTCCTCCTGGGTCCTGGTCCGCGTCCACCACCACCCACTTGGAAGTAACGTCCCAGGGCTGCCTTGTCTGGATTTTATTTTTCTATAAATATTTACATAATTTGAAAAATGTTAATAAAATTAATCCTTGTTTTTAAAAAAATACTCCGTGGGCCAAAACAAATACATTTGCTGTCTGGAAATGGTTGGTGGGGAGGTGGGTTTGTGACCCCTGTCAGAGGCCTCGCCCTCGAAAACATTCCCAGAAGTCTGTTCGAATAGAAAGCCAGGGAAGGGCTTATAAATACAGAGGTGCGCCATTCCTTTTTTTAATACATCATTTTTAAAGATGTCTGCATCTCTTTTTTAAAAAAAGATTTATTTATTTATTTGAAAGTCAGAGTTACACAGAGGAGAGGCAGAGAGAGAGAGAGAGGTCTTCCATCTGCTGGTTCACTCCCTAATTGGCTGCAACAGCCAGAGCTGTGCTGATCTGAAGCCAGGAGCCAGGAGCTTCTTCCAGGTCTCCCATGTGGGTGCAGGGGCCCAAGCACTTGGGCCATCTTCTACTGCTTTCCCAGGCCATAGCAGAGAGCTGGATCGGAAGTGGAGCAGCCAGGTCTCGAATTGGCGTCCATATGGGATGCCGGCACTTCAGGCCAGGGCGTTAACCTACTGCGCCACAGCACTGGCCCCTCGATTCCTTTTTTAAAATCCCAGTTTTGGGCTCTGTGGGAGAGGACACTTCTGGGCTGGCTATGGCATCCTACCCCCACCATATTCTTGCAGCAGTGAATTCCCTGCCCGCTAACAACAGCCAAGGGTATCGGGGGTGGGGGAACCCACTACTTTGCCAGAATAAGATTTTGATTTTTTTTCCTCTGTCTTCCAATGAGAACTCCCAAATGTCTGTTTTCTCCCCAAAACAAATGTCCAGTATTCCTAGACAAACAGTAAGGCTGAGAATGTGGAAATGATGCAGCTTTGGTAATACAGAATTGCAGGCCACAGCTGGGCTACTGGGAAGCCCTTCTCTCCGGGTCACCAGCAGGTTGTAATTTTAAAATGCTGATGAGGGCGCGCATGGGGCATCAACAGGGGGAAGCTGGAAATGAGGCATCCTGTCTGACGCAACCCTTCTGTCACCCAGCATGGTTGCCCGGGACACCCAGCCGTCTATAATTAGAGTAACTACTAGGTGAACAAATGCCACTCTTGTTTTCTTTTTATAAAATCTGTCCTATGTTCGTAAAACCAAGCTACAGGAAATAACCTCCCTTTTCTTTCTGATCGGTCTCAGCACTCGGAACGTGACCTGAGAAAGAGCTGAACTCTGGTGGACCGTGCATGGGAGCACTCGCGGGAAGGTAAAGGGGGGAGAGGGGGCTGGGGACAATGGAGGAGCACGGAGGGGAAGGGTAACGGGCCACAGAGGGGAGGGCAGCCCAGGGACTCAGCCCCACAATTCCAGGGAAGGAGGGCAGAGGTTGGACTCCAGGGCGGTTCCTGGGAAAGGAGATGACTCGAATGCTGGGCAAACAGGAAGTCAGCAGCCAGGGCGATGGGTCTCAGCAGGTGCCATGGGGCTCTGACTACAGACACAGTCTACATGGGACAGCATGGCTGCCGTGAAGTAACCATCCCCAGGATGTGCCTTGCCCCCGCTCCCTGTCCCCCCTCCCCCGACATGGGGCCCTGCTTTGTGGATGTACTGATTCCAAAGAGACGGGCAGGGAGCAAAACCAACCATTGTGTTTTTCCTTGACTTAGGTAGTTTCACCAGAGTGATCCGGGGGACTTTACCTGCATTCTCTTTCATGCCCTGTCTTGTTTTGGCCTCCACATTAATGTTCCTAAAACATCAAGGCAAATCACAGGTTTTTTTTTTTTTTTGACAGGCAGAGTGGACAGTGAGAGAGAGAGACAGAGAGAAAGGTCTTCCTTTGCCGTTGGTTCACCCTCCAATGGCCGCCGCCGCCGGCGCACCACGCTGATCCAATGGCAGGAGCCAGGTGCTTCTCCTGGTCTCCCATGGGGTGCAGGGCCCAAGCACTTGGGCCATCCTCCACTGCACTCCCTGGCCACAGCAGAGAGCTGGCCTGGAAGAGGGGCAACCGGGACAGAATCTGGTGCCCTGACCGGGACTAGAACCTAGTGTGCCGGCGCCGCAAGGCAGAGGATTAGCCTAGTGAGCCGCGGCGCCGGCCCACAGGTTCCTAATAAACCCTTGCTGAGGGCCAGGAGAAGGCACTGCTGGGATGCCCGGGTGCCTGGCGCTGGTCCTGGCCCCTCTGCTTCCAGTCAGCTTCCTGTGATGCTCATCCCGGGAGGCAGCAGTGATGGTTCAAGTACTTGGGTCCCCACCGCCCCCATGGGAGACCTGGATGGAGTTCATGGCTCCGGGCTTCAGCCTGACCCAGCCTTGACTGTTGGGGACGTTTGATAAGTGAGCCAGTAGATGGAAGATTTTCTCTCTCTCTCTCTCTCTCTCTCCCCCCCCTACTTCAGATGAATACATAAAAGAACTTTAAGGCAATTTCAATGAGTACATACTGATCCAATGATGCATTCATGAAGATGTGGTTTTCTTTCTTCCTTTCTTTCTTCTTTCCTTCCTTCCTTCCTTTTTTTACAGGCAGAGTGGACAGTGAGAGAGAGAGAGAGACAGAGGGAAAGGTCTTCCTTTACCATTGGTTCACCCTCCAATGGCCGCTGCAGCCGGCACCACGCTGGTCCGAGCCAGGAGCCAGGTACTTATCCTGGTCTCCCATGGGGTGCAGGGCCCAAGCACTTGGGCCATCCTCCACTGCACTCCCTGGCCACAGCAGAGAGCTGGCCTGGAAGAGGGGCAACCGGGACAGAATCCTGCGCCCTGACCGGGACTAGAACCCGGTATGCCGGCACCGCAGGCAAAGGATTAGCCTAGTGAACCTCGGCGCCGGCTGAAGATGTGGTTTTCTACATGAGTGTTTGCTGATATGCCTTGAGCTAAGGGTCTGTTATCTAAGATAACATAGAAAGGTTTAATCATGGACGTTTGCTTCCCTGGAACAACGTTTTAAATTTTATTTGTTTATTTTTATTTTTTTGAGAGGCAGAGAGACAGGGAGAAAGGCAGAGAAAGATTTTCCGTTCGCTGGCTCACCACTCCCTAAAAGCCCTCCACAGCAGGGCTGGGTAGGCCCAGAGCTCAGTGGGGGTCTCCCACGTGGGTAATGAAGACCAAGTACTTGAGTCATCATCTGCTGCCCCCCGGGGTGCACATTAACAGGAACTGACTCAGAAGTAGGGTGGTCTGGACTTGACCGAGGCCCTCGGATAATAGGGATTAACTGCTGTGCCAATGCCTGCCCCTTCCTGGGATACCTTAGAGATGCATGCATTTGAAAGGCAGAACTTAAGAGAAAGAGAGAGCTCCTCTATTTGCTGGTCCAGTCCCCAAATGGCTGCAACAGCCAGGGCTGGGCCAGGCCAAAGTCAGTATCCAGGAGTTAGGAATTGCATCCATGTCTCTCACATGGGTGGCAGGGACCCAGGAACTTGGGCCATCCCCCACTGCCTTCCCAGGTGCACTAGCAGGAAGCAGGATCAGAAGCAGAGCAGCTGGGACTCAAATTGGCAGTCTGCTATGGGATGCTAGAGTTGCAATTAGCAGCTTAACCCACCACGCCACAACACTGCCTACCAGGACATTTGAAGATCCATCAGTGGGTAGACATCTGGGGCAGAGGCTAAGTCTCTGCTTGGGAAACTTGTGTCCCAGATCAGCATGCCTGGGTCCTGGTTCTGCCCCTGATTCCAGCTTCCTGACAATGTGTACCCTGGAAGGCGGGTGGTGATGGCACCAGTAGCTGCATCCCTGCCACCAACGTGGAAGAGTTGGTTTGAGTTCTCATCTTTTTTTTTTTTTTTTTAAAGATGAAGTTACACAGAGTGAGGTAGAGACACAGAGAGAGAAAGATCTTCCATCCGCTGGTACACTCCCCAAAGTACATTCCAGCCGCAATGGCTGGAAGCTGAGCTGATCTGAAGCCAGGAGACAGGAGCTTTTTCTGGGTCTCCCATGAGGGTGCAGGGGGCCAAGGACTTGGACCACCCTCTGCTGCTTTCCTAGACACATTAGCAGGGAGCTGGATGGGAAGTGGTGCTGCCGGGACTCGAACTGGCGCTCATATGGGATGCCGGCCCTGCAGGTGGCAGCTTTACCCACTACACCACAGCGCCAGCCCTAAGTTGTCATCTTCTGACTTTGGCTTGGTCCAGTGCTGGCTGTTGCAGGCATTTATGGAGCAAACCAGTGGATGGGAGATTTCTTTGTTTCAAATAAATAAATAAATAAATGGCCAACCAAGAACACCACGAGTTCAAGCAAGCCAGCTAATAACACTGACTTAAATTTTAGAGTATAAAATTATAGATGGCACCTGAAACAGAAAACAAAGCTTTATAGAAAGCTTGGCTTGGAGCCTTGCATGTTCTCGTGTTACACTCATGACTTCTGTCTGGTCCAGGAGTTTTTATCCCCCTGTATAGCTCTGTAAACCAGGACTGGGGGATACTGGGCAAGTTTTTATCCCCTGTACAGCTCTGTAAACCAGGACTGGGGGATACTGGGCAAGTTTTTATCCCCTGTACAGCTCTGTAAACCAGGACTGGGGGATACTGGGCAAGTTTTTATCCCCTGTACAGCTCTGTAACCAGGACTGGGGGATACTGGGCGAGTTGTTTTTATCCCCCTGTACAGCTCTGTAACCAGGACTGGGGGATACTGGGTGAGTTTTTATCCCCCTGTACAGCTCTGTGACCAGGACTGGGGGATACTGGGCGAGTTTTTATCCCCCTGTACAGCTCTGTAACCAGGACTGGGGGATACTGGGCGAGTTTTTATCCCCTGTACAGCTCTGTAACCAGGACTGGGGGATACTGGACGAGTCCCAGAGGTACGTACTAGGACACCTTGAGATGGAGACGCTGCCCACACCCCGTCTTCCCACTGGTTCCCAGGCTGGAGCTCGAGGCTGGAGAGAGAATGACACCTTCGCTTGTGCTTCATCCTCCAGAGAGGCTGGGGCAGAGGGAAAGAGACAGGACTGTGCCAGGAGAAACAAGGCCAAGTGCCAGTGGAGCCTGTGGGCACCTGCAGCTCTTCAAGGGGCCCACGCCTCACATTTGCCAAGGGGACTACTGGAAATCTTTCTCATCATTGCTCCCAAGAAAAGGGTTAATCGGCGTTCCTGGGTGGGCCTGGGCTGCTGCACTGCTTGAAGTTTTTTTTCTAACCTAGAGCTGGAGCAGAGACGGGGTAATCATTCCTCCCAACTCCCATCTGCTGGAAGAAGCTGGTTTTATTTCGGGTTGGAGAAGGCGCTAAGAATTCGAGGATGCTTGGTGGACAGTGCCATCTAGTGGTCGGTGGGAGTAGTTCCAGGCTGGTTGGGTGGACCTTGAGAAAGGCTTGAGTGATAAGATATCCTGTGTCCTTCCAAAATGGCTTTACGGTGGGTTAATTAGAAACCGAGAGGCATCCTATACCACTTCCTCTATAGAAGGGGAAGTTTGGATGGGATTTTAATATTCATCTATTCCATAAAGTGCCCACTATGTGCCAAGCATGATTCCGGGTCCTAGAGATACAGTGCTGTACAAAATAAATAAAAATGCTTGCTCACGTGGGCAGAGGGACCACAGACAAGGAAACTAAGTGTGCATGGTAGTCTCTCTTTGTCCGAGGGGGATTATTCCAAACTGCCACTCTATGCTTGGACCTCTGATAGCACCAAATGCTGTATGAGCTACAGTTTTTCCTGTTAAGTCAAGAACTTCCACCTTTGCACTCCAGGGAAGCACTTCACAGCTCCTGTTTCACTCATCTGACGAGCCAGCATCACTGCTCTTCTAAAGTAAAATTCAGGGTTACCTGAACATGAGAACTGTGCTGCCATAGCAGTCTGATCCTCGAGATGGCTAGCAGGAGGCGTGGTGTGCACAGAGGGGAGAGACCCTTGGCATGCTACTCAGAACAGAAACAATTTAAAACTTATGGATTGTTTATTTCTGGAATTTCCCATTTAGTATTGTTGGACTGGAGAGGGCTTTTTGGTTTAGTGGTTAAAACACTGCTTAGGGCCAGCGCCGTGGCTCACTAGGCTAATCCTCCGCCTTGCGGCGCCAGCACACCGGGTTCTAGTCCCGGTCGGGGCACCGGATTCTGTCCCGGTTGCCCCTCTTCCAGGCCAGCTCTCTGCTGTGGCCCGGGAGTGCAGTGGAGGATGGCCCAAGTGCTTGGGCCCTGCACCCCATGGGAGACCAGGAGAAGCACCTGACTCCTGCCATTGGATCAGCGTGGTGCGCCGGCGGCGGCGGCCATTGGAGGGTGAACCAACGGCAAAGGAAGACCTTTCTCTCTGTCTCTCTCTCTCACTGTCCACTCTGCCTGTCAAAACAAACAAACAAACAACAACAACAACAACAACAACAAAAACACTGCTTAGGCTGCCTTCGTCCCATGTGGAAGCACCCGGGTTTGATGGCTAGTTTTATCCCAATCCAGCTTCCTGCTAATGCTCACCCTGGGGAGGCAGCTGGTAATGGCTCCAATTGCTGGGCCCCTGCCATCCACATGGGAGACCTGAGTGTTCCCAGTCTGGGCCTGGCTCAGCCATGGCCTTTGCGGGCATTTAGGGTTGAACCAGCTCAGGGAAACTCTCTCTGTGTGTCTCTCTGCCTCTCAAATAAATTGTACAAACTTGTTTTCTGGATCATTGTTGATCACAGGACATTGAAACTGCAGATAAGCTGGGGGTTATTATAGGATGTTAGAGAAGGGTAGAATCTAAGAATTCACATATAAAGCAGGGGCAGGGGCTAGGAGGTGCTGGGGGTCCTGGGAAAGAGGCGTTGCATGGGATGGGCAGCGTGGGCCCCACTGGAAGGTTCCATTTGCACAGAGCTGAGGGAGGGATTGATTGGAAAAGCATTGGGAACCAAAGGAACATAAGTGCTCACAGAGCAGCCAGGAGGCCCAGGTGGCTGGAGTAGGGAGAAGGGGACGGCGAAGTAACAGTGAGAGACGCTGGGAGGTAGGGTGCGGGCTGGAGTATAGGGGAACAGAAGCCACTGAAGTCTGGACTCGCATTTACTCAGCATCACAGCATAGGCAGTGGTTGAGAGGCCGTTCGGGACACCTGCATCCAGTACCAGAGTTCCTGGGTTTGAGTTCCAGCTCCTCTTCCAGTCCTCGCTTCCTGCTGCGTGTGTCCTGGGTGATGGAAGTGGGCCATGGCTCCTTGCCGCCTACGTGGGAGACCCAGATTAACTCCCCAGCTCTTGGTCTTGGCTTGGCCCAGCCTTCTCTCTGTCTTTCAAACAAAATACACACGCGCATCTTAAACAGATCACCCAGGCAACCGTGGTGAGAACAAATTGCAGGTGTCCTGGGAGTTTCACAATTCTCTTTAAAGACTCCAGAAAGCTGAGTATTCTGCTTGTGTAAAATTGTTTAATAAGTCCTTCCCGGGTCCCTTTTTTCCAGGAACACCCACGAAACTCACATGGGACCCGCGGAAGTGGAAGTCAGCCTTGATGGCAGACGGTAACATTCCTGACAGTCAGAAACAAGGTGCTCCGGAGAAAACGGGATTGAACTCGAGGCCATACCACAGCTGCCCAAATCCCGAGGCTGAGTGACTAATTCATTCTTTATATATTAAATTTTTTTTTGACAGGCAGAGTTAGACAGTAAGAGAGAGAGACAGAGAGAAAGGTCTTCCTTTTTCCATTGGTTCACCCCACAAGTAGCTGCTACAGCCAGTGCATTGCAGCTGGCGCACTGCGCCAATCCGAAGCCAGGAGCCAGGTACTTCTCCTGGTCTCCCATGCAGGTGCAGGGCCCAAGCACTTGGGCCATCCTCCACTGCACTCCCGGGCCACAGCAGAGAGCTGGACTGGAAGAGGAGCAACCGGGACAGAATCCGGCGCCCTGACCGGGTCTAGAACCCGGTGTGCTGGCGCCGCAAGGCGGAGGATTAGCCTAGTGAGCCACAGCCCCAGGTGACTCCCCACCCCTCACGCCTCGCTGTTCCTCCTACTTCCTGAGCAGAGATTTCTGAGATACCCAAGGTTGACAGCGCCAGTCCTGACCTCATTCCTGTACCGGCTACCTTCGCTTTTAGATTCACTACACAAAAACCTTGTAAAAAGCCCCTCCCCATCACCTCTCACTGGATACTCCATGGCTCATCAGTGTGTACACTCCTGTGCTGCAGCAAGTTGAGAAGAACCCACGTTGACCAGGTTCATTGCTGTTTCGTTGAGCGCAGTTTACAGGACGCTGGAGGAAATGCTGGCTTCCTGCTCCCAGAGTCCAGAGCGGAGATTCTGTGTTTCGCCTAAAATGTCTCGTGTACCAATGGAAAACAGTCTACTAGGAATGGAAAGGGAGAGGACTGTACTTCACTGATTTTATTTCTATTTATTTATTTTCATTGTGTTTGGAAGGCAGAGAGACAGATGGAGAGAGGACTATCGGTACACTGGTTCACTTCCCAAATGCCCACCGAAACCAGGGCTGGACCAGACCAAAGCCAGAAGCCAGGAACTCCAACTGGATCTCTCATGTGGGTGACAGTGCCCCAGGTCCTTAAGCCAGCGCCTGCTGCCTCCCAGCGTGCACACCAGCAGGAAGCTGGATGAGAAGCAGTGCAGCCGAAGCGCCAGTTGGGCGCCCTGGATATGGGATGCAGTGCACGACTGCTATGCCAAAGTCCTACCTTTGTCAAATATTTTTTGAAAGAGCAAGTGTGTGTGATTTTCGGAAGTTGCCTCTTGTCTGGTCCCTTAGGCTGCTGAGATTTGGGGGCTGAACATTTGTGCTGTGGGCTCTCTTGTCTTGATTAGGCATTATTTTACCTTTCTCTCCCACCAGGGGCTTCCCCAGACAACGTGCTTTTTCTCAGCTTACTTGAGTTCTACTGAGCGTGTAAGCGATGGTGATCCACCATCAGACCTGCATCTCAGGGAGCTCATTGCAGTAACACAAGTAGAGGATGTCAGGCAGGGATGGGCGAGGACAGGTGGAGACCAGGTGGGCAGCTGGTGACAGAGGTGGATCCAAAGGACTCAGTGGGAATGAGGAGAGGCAGGTTACTGTGTAGGGCGGCTGTCAGTGGGACTTGGATTTCCCTAGGCCTCACTGGCCTTTTAGTGCAAATGGGGTTTTGTTATCAAATCTCACATTTCACTGGTTCTTTTCTCATTGTTTTATGGGACACTGAGCTCCCTTCAAAACCTTTCCTAATAAGAACTGGGAGTCCATGGAGATGCTTCCTACATGCAGGGGCCTGTCCTCTGGGGTCCACCTAGAGGGATGTCTGTCCTTGCTGGGGAGGGCCCTTGTGAGTGATTCCTCATTACTGCCACCTACTGATGTCCCCTATAACTGCACTGAAGTTTGTTCCCCCAATACTCCCTTCTGCTTTTATTAAAATCATTGGGGTGGGCGCTTGACCTGGCGGCTAGGACGCTGGCTGGTACACTTGCATCCATGTTGCAGTGCCTGGATTATGTCATTGGCTCCAGCTCCTGACTCCAGCTTCCTCATTTTTTAGAAATTTTATTTTTAAAAAAATTTTTTTTATTTATTTATCTGAGAGCTAGAGTTACAGATGGTGAGAGGGAGACAGAGAAAGATCTTGCTTCCACTGGTTCACTCTCCAAATGGGCGTAATGGCTGGAGCTGGGCCGATCTGAAGCCAGGAGCCAGGAGCTTCTTCTGGGTCTCTCATGCAGGTGCAGGGGCCCAAGGGCTTGGGCCATCTTCCACTGCTATCCCAGGCCATAGCAGAGAGCTGGATTGGAAGAGGAGCAGCTGGGACTAGAACTGGCGCCCATATGGGATGCCGGTGCCTCTTGATGGGAACCTGGAAGACAGTGGTGATGGCTCAAATAATTGGGTTCCTGCCACCCATGGGAGATCTGACTTGAGTTCCCAGCTGCCGCCCCTCCACCATCCCCCATGCTGCACCTTTGTGGGCATCTGGGTAGTGAGCCGACGGATGGGAGCTCCGTCGGCCTCAGCAAAGTAAATGAATACTTTAAAACACGATCCTTTGGGTTTCGTCTTAGGCAGTGTGATGAATTACGCTGAGTAATTTTTATTGATGTGAAATTCTCATAAAGTTAACCGTGTAAAAGTGAACAATCCAGCGCCATGTAGTAGTTCCCAGGGTTGTGCAATCGTCTGCTCTTTTTCGTTCCTACATGTTTCCATCCTCAGCCCATGAAGCAGTTACTCCACGCCTCCTGCCTCAGCCCCCGGAAGCCACCACTGGCTCTCTGTGTCTGTGGGTTTACTGATTCTGGGAGGTAACCGCATTAGCACCCTGTTTTCAAGTTTCATCCACGTTGAAGCGTGTGTATTTCATGGCTGAACAATGTTCCAATGAATGTATGCACCGACGTTTTATTTCTTCATCATCTGATAGTCATGCGGGTCGCTTCTACCTTTTGGCTATTGTGAATATCATGAACATGAGTGTGCATGAGCTTACGTGAGTGCCTGTTTTTTGGTTCTCTAGAGAATCCTCTGGAATCCTAGGAGTGGCGTGGCTGGGTCATGTGGTCATTCTGTGTTTAACTCTTGAGGGGCAACAACCTGTTTGCCATAGCAATTGCACACACTCCTACAGCAATGTACAACT